CACAGGTTCAGGTCGTTCTTTTTTCCCCTCAACATACTCAGGCTACATTCTCCACCATTTCTATTCGCAGGTGCTTGCTGTGTTCTTTTGTATGTGCATATACAATACACCATTGTTTGATAATAATAATAATAATTGTAAAAGAAGCTGCTGACACCCAGGACCATTGTTGTTGCCTGTTAGGGTCTCTTGCTCCTACACTTTAATTTGTATACATGCCAGTATCCATTCTATAGGAAGAGTCTGTCTGCAGGAATGTTACAAGCAGTTTACCAGACTTTCAAACTGTTCTTTAATTAAGGTGTGAAATCTGGCTTGCAGTTGAATAAGGGTTTAAATGAACTTGGTCAGAGTTTGCACATCTACAACAAGGATTTTTATTAATTTTAGAATCAACTTGTTTATTTCTCTTCAGTAAGCATGTTTACAAAAGAGGTTTAGCGCCACTGTAAAAAAAAAAAAAAAATTGATTTTAATTTTTTTTTTTTTTTTTTTAGTGGCCAAAAAACTTTCCCTTCCTTTACATGTTTCTTATCACATTCCTGATAAACTCGTTGGCACCTTCATGCCCTCAGACCATGTCTGTCGAAACCCACACGTTCTCATGTGATGACATCCCTACAGCTGTAAATGCGCACACACACACACACCATAACCACTGTAGGAAAATGAATGAAATGTTTTTGAAATTGTGAAGAGTCTCTCCATTTGTTTTTGTAGTGGTGAACATTTAAATAAAATTGATTTTTATAACAGTTTGTGAATTAGAATTTGGACTTCCTCACTGTTTATTAAATTGCAACCAGGGTGAAAATGTATTGTTCTCAAACAACTAGCAATGTAACTACTAGTCGATTTGTAGCAGCTGACAAAGACGCATTGAGATCAAAACTTCCAGAACTTTATTGATGCTATGTGAGCTAAACAAGAGCAGGTTTTGCCAGTAAAAACCCCCTTAACCTGGAAGAGGAACGGCACAAAACAAAACAAAACAAAAAAAAACTCACCACTGCCTAGTGTAGAAGAGACGAGCCTATGCCTTTCCCCTTTATCAGTCACATCCAGTGACCAGCCACACATGAAGCGCCATGGACACTGAAGACACTGGGATCTTAAGCGAAAGGTAAGTAAAGGCCACTGCTTGTTTTAGAGTCATTTGAAATATAGCTTTCCTTGTTTCCATGTCAGGATGAGAAGATGGCATTTTGTATTACCATCCTCTGAGACAAACCCTGCTATTGAACAAACTGGGACATTTGCCAATGAGCTATTAACTCCTGGTAATATTAGCAATGTGAAAGTTAACATCTGTTGGAATGAGTGACTGTAGCCAGGTCTGTCCACATTTTCTCCTTTTGTTTTTTTTTCCCCACCAGCATTCCTCCAAGGATAGATTTCTAGTCCTCCGTTTTTGCCTCCATCTCCTCGGCATCATCGTCTCCATCTACCTCAGCGTTTTCCCGCTCTAACCTCTCCAGCTGCCGGGCAAGTTCTGTCTCATCTGTGTCGGTCACCACCTTGGGCTGAAGGGGACAGTTTATTGTGCATACCGTATGAGATTGGGATCTCATTCTTTCTCTCATAATTGACTTACTATCATGATTATGAAAACCGGATCTTGTGATGATATATTGTAGGCATTTAACACTACATATGTACTATACAGTACATTTAATAGCACATAGCAGAAGCGAACTGTTAACAGCTAATGTGGTGTACTTGTGTGTTCCAAAATGTAAACAAATATAGACTTAAAAACAAGCCAGGAGTTGGAAAACTTCACAACCTGAGAAACATTGGGTTTTTGAGATTTCTTTGGTAATTATGTAGTCCTGACAGCACATCCAACCCTACATAGCAAAATGGCGCCTACATTGTAACATGCTGTATCCATGGCAACTTCCTGTTTCTTGTCAAAGTTTATCTGTTTGCACGAGTGATGACTATTAAAGTTTGTGGTGTTCTCATAATTCCGAGATACAAACATCAGGATCTTGTCACATTAAAAAGTTCAATCGTGCACAGATCATACTTTTACCAGAGATACTGAGAGAAAGTGTGGGCTGCAGTTTGGGGGCAACCTTTAGCCCATATTGGTTTACATTTTGGAACACCAAGTATGCCGAATTACCTATAAAGAGTTAATTTTTGCTCTGCTGGACATTGTTACAGAAGTGCATTAATGCTGAAGCAATCTTAAAAACATAAGCAGGTTCTGAAGCTTTCCAACGCCTGTTATGTTTATAGTGAGTTACACTATAGGCAGCAAATTTGAGGCGTGTTTGTAGGCTATATTTGTTTACATTTTGGAACACCAAGTATGCAGCATTTCACTTCTGCTATGCACCATGGGATGTACTGATAACTATCACTGAATTACTTGGATAATAAAGAATTAAAACCTGATAATTTTCAGGCATGTTCTGCAGCATTATCTCAATTACAAGAAAAAGATAATTGTCATCTGACTGTAATTATGAGATGCTAAATCATAATTACAAGATTTATTTTTATTTTGGTGAATGCAGTGCACTTCCATACCTTAGCCTTACTAGAACTTTTGAAAACTCAAGAGATGCACACAGAACAAAAAAGGTGAAGCTACTTACTTCCATCTGGATGTTGAAGACACCTCTCTTCTCCTCAATCTTCTCCTTGATGGCAGCCATGGCCTGGTTGAGCACAGAGAGGCCCTCTGTGCGCTCCAAAGTGGTCGTCGTCATCACGTAGCGAGGGGGAGCAATCAGGTTGATCTGTTGACCACATGACAGCAACAGATACACATGTACAGTAGCAGCTCTTACCCAAATGAGATGACAGCATATGTAGTCAGGTCACACTTCAAAGTGGGAATTGCATGTAGTCAAAACACAGTGCCATGGTTAAAACGTTTTCAGGTGATGACTGAAGACAGGGAATCATCACCTGGCACAAAGGGAGGGATGAATATTACCTTGATGGGCATTGCCTCTGTGGAGCAGCTGAGCCCAGCCCTCAGAGCCTCTTTCACTGCATCAATGCCCTCATACCCGTAACATGCCACTTCAATGTCTGCAGGTAGAGCAGGAAAAAGGATACTTGTTACTTCATATCCTAAGATCAACTTAGATGCTGTAATAAAAACTGGGCAGTGGCCTTTTACCTGCTCTGATTTTGACAGCCTGTGGCGTGAGTCGCCTGTTGATATTATCGATCAGCACAGCCCTCTCTTCCTCTGTTAAGTCCAGACCGTCCAGAATGGCTGGATCTCTGGAAGATGGAGGATATGCTCTATTATATTTGACAAAGAAGTTAACACTCACTTTGTAAATACATTAAGTTTAAAGCCACCACCAGTATCTGTCAGGAGGATTACATTATTCAATATGTTTTAAACGTTTAATCAATATATATCACTATATGTTATTCAATGGATTTTAAACTTTCAGAACAGAGACCTGTGAGACACTGCTTGTGTGAACTGAAGGACATGCTTTTATCTGTTTTATTACTCTGTGTTATATGTTCAACCAAATGGCGTTCCAGACTTAGAGGAAGCCTGCCATATACTGCGAAGACAAACAGGTGCAATAGCTTGTTTAGTGTCTAAGGGGTTAACAGGGCAACCCTCTTCAACTTCTGTTTTGCTACTTAAGCCTACTTTACAACTTGATTAACTAACTCCTATATATTGTGATTGTTAGACTAAGCTCATTCAGACAACTCTGTATGCTCATGATGGACTTGTCTCGTTGCTGCAAGTAAAGAATACTGCTATTACCGTTCCAGTGACTTTGTTGATCTGTTTGGAAAAGAATTTTGACAGTATCAAATTGTGATTTTAATCTTTGTACTTCCATGAAGTAAATACAGAATAAGGGTGTGAAAACTGCTTGCAAGAACTTACGATACTGCCTGTTTGAAGACATCATAAGCTCCGTATCCTGGCCGCTTGTATTTCTCATCAAAGACCCAGGCAGTGCGCTGGTACAAGCTCTCTAACTGCTCGTCCTTACTGTAATCCAGCACCTCTGCCACATGTCGCAGGATGCTGTACACCTGTAAACAGAAAATACTGAGTCTTCAAATTCAAAACCAAAAAAAGTTTACAAATAAAGGAAATCCAAAGAGAGGTTAAGTTGTTGATAATTAAGAGATTTCCTTGTCAAGGAAAAGTGGTCATGCACCTGGTCCTGTCTCGTTTTAACAATATATTTGGCTTAAAGGAAATCACCACAGGTGGTCAGAATGGGAGGGCGGGTGTCTGCTGAGCTCACAATCTGCACAGGCTCACCGCAAGGCTGCTGTGTCAGCCCCAAACTTCACCCTGTACACTCACGACTGTGCCTCCAACCATGACAACACCATGATGATTAAATATGCTGATGACACCAGCATCCTGGGCCTCATTAAAGAGAGGGGACGAGTCAGGTTACAGAAGCTTGGTGAACGGCATTGTTTATGGCGAGGAGAATGACATCATCCTCAACATAAACAAGACAAAAGAAATAATAATAATAATAATACTTCAGGAAGAACCCCTCCCCTCTGCTGCCTCTGACCCTCAAAGGGCCTGAGGAGGAGAGGGCTGACAGCCACAAGTTCCTGGGCCTGCAGGTGACACCTGACCTGAGCGGAGCTGGACACGGAACACAGCTGCCACAATGAAGAAAGCCCAGCAGCGGCTAAACTTAATCAGGCAGCTCAGAAAAGCTGGTCTGAACTGTCACCCCCTCACCCAGGCTTACAGAGGACTGGTAGAGAGTGTCCTCACCACTGGGATCACAGTCTGGTATGGTAACACCACACAGGCAGAGAGGAAGGCTCTTCAAAGATCCTGTAACTCACTCAGTCTTCCCTAGGGTAGAGGTTATTATTTCCCCCCACAGGGCGGTGGCATATTCCCCTCCGCCACATGTTGTTGGCGCAATGTTACGAGGAAGCTGCTAATAAGGTTGCATACAAGTGCACAGTGAATTCACATATATTATTATATTTCACTCTGCCCAGACACAGAAACTGCACCCACAACCTCAGGCACAGCAGAGCAGACAGTATCATCACACACAGAACAAGATTTTACAACTGCTTTTCCCCTGCTGCAGCAAGACTGAGGGCAAATACAAAATGTGAAAAACCTGTGCAATAACCCCTCAAGGCACAAGAAGGCACAGCAGAGGATGTACTTCCTGTGTCAGCTCCGGAAGTTTGACCTGCCCCGGGAGCTGCCGATACAGTTCTACAGAGGAATCATCGAGTCTGTTCGCTGCACTTCCAGCACTGTCTGGTTTGGCTCAGCAACCAAACAGGACAAGTACAGACTTCAGCGGACAGTGAGGACTGCAGAAAAGGTCGCTGGTGTGAGCCTGCCCTCCATGGAGGACCTGTACACCTCACGGGCCAAAAGGAGGGTGGAGAGGATCACTGCTGACCCCTTACACCCCGGACACAACCTGTTTGAACTCCTCCCCTCTGGATGGCGTTACAGGTCACTGTGCACCAAGACAACCAGGCACAGGGACAGTTTCTTCCCCCAGGCTGTCACATTGATGAACACTTATCCCACAACATTATGATTGGACAATAACCCTCAGTGCAATACCTGTAAATATACACTGTACAGATTATATGGATCCGTACAGGTGTCTATTTTTAAGTACTCTGTTTTTATTCCTATTTATCTCATTTCAATGAGCATTCCTTTGTCTGTCAGCCTTGTTTACTGCCTGTTTATACTGCTTATTCTGCATTGTTTGCACTGTTTGCTTGTTAATACTGCTTATTTTGTTATATTACACAGCCTTATGCTGGTTTACTGTTTACTTGCCCCTTGCATGGGGACATGTACATACACATAGCACCAGAGTCAAATTCCTTGTGTATCTGACACACCTGGCCAATAAAGCAAATTCTGATGACCCTACCAAGTAGAATACCACATACAATTACACTATGTGCAATACCATGTGTAGTATCTGAAACTCCCCATTTTACCTATCTTACTCCTGTATCCACAATTTTATCAACTATTTTGTATTCTTGGGCAGGCATTCTTGTTTTTTGTATTCTTGGATGATGTTATATTTAGACTAGGTGTTTGTTCTTTTGGCTTTAAACTCTATACTTGACTCCAGGAGAGCCCTGCACAAAAATTCCTATATGCCTAGACTGTGTGTTTATGCATAAATGGCAAAGAAAATCATGAATCTTGAAATCACCTTTATAATTTCAAGTTTATGATCATGTTTTATAAATAATGTCTATGAACACAGTAACAAATTGACTTACGGTTTTAGATTTGGTGAATTTATCTTCACACTTGATGGCCTCCTCTGGTGAAACTCTTCTTTTTGATAAATCAATGTATCCTGGAGAGAAAATAGCAAAGCAATGCAGTGACACCGTTTAGAGAAAGATCTGCTGTTTTTACAATATTGTCACAGGCAGGTTTGGGGAAGAACGGTATCAGTGGATAGTAACTATTCCATTAAAGTTACAGAGGGAATACATTTAAGCAAAAGCCATCTTACTGATATTTAATTCTCACATCTTAATTTGCATATTTGGTATTAACATTATCCCAAAGTACCAGGAGATTAAGTTGTATTACGATAATTGGATTAAAATACTGAATAAATTTTTAACAAGTAATTTTTAACAGTAATTTTAACCTCCCAACCCTGGTCAGAGTCTGAATATCAAGTAGTCCAAGAACTCTGGAGATGGCTGATAAAGGGATGCTCCATTAGTTTGGTGAATTATTAATGCAAATATTATTAACTGAGCAATTAAGCAACAGGAAATTAAAAATTCCAACCTAAATAGTTAATTGATCGAACATCGACAGAACACCTCATGATTAAAGTGTGATAACTTGGTTGCTTTTCGCCAGTTGAATGCAGGCATATTTTTTCAGCTTGTGTGACTAAATAAGCATTGTTATCTTATCTCCTCTCATACCAGCAATTTCACGACATCGGTTTGTCCTCTGGAAATTTGTGATAAGTGGTTGTCATTACTGACAATTTAGAGCAAACCATTCACTTGTTTCTCAAATCAACAACCTGTTGATGAGGGTAATAAATATTAAGTGACTTATAATGATGTCAAATGCAACTTTCTGTTCCACCAGCCACTTTGACAACCCCCCCCCCAAAAAAACTCTGTACCAGTCAGTGCACCTACCTTTTTCTTTGTCTACTCGGATGACGACCACACACTCGTTGCGGCCTATGCGGATGAGCTTGTTGATGGAGCGGATACGTCGACGTGACAGCTCGCTCAGGAGGATCATGCCCTCAATGTTGTTGTATTCCAAAAGGCTGACGTAGGCACCCATCTCTGCGATGGACCTCACGTTCACCATCACCACATCCTCCACCTCTGGGAACCGGTGCTGGTAAAATCGACAGCTGAGCCCCGGCATCGCTGTGGGGATAGAAGCAATAAGGGGGGTGGGGGGTGGTGGTTGTGTATCTGCAGTGTTGGCAAAAATACTCCTTAAATGTCGAACACCACCATGATCAGTCTGCATGTCTTTTTTCTGTGGAAGGAGCTTTCTTACATCTGAGAAAATCACCCTGACGTCATAGTGACTTATTCAAGGTTATCTCACTCATGCTTGAAGACCACAAATGTTACGTTATGCAGTCAGTTAAGTGCTACAATTGGAAACTAAGTATTAAGTGTGAAGAACACTCATGTACCAAACAGGAAGAGTCTAAAAATAAAATCCAATCATGCTACATTATGGCAATTGTGGGATCCAGTGGACAAAAATTCAGGATCTCCTGGCCCTCGATGGATTTTAAAATCTCTCTCACACCTCAGTCTCACACCTTTATTGCAGTACAACACTAAATTAGTAGATTTCAAATTATGTTCTTTTCTGCATCTTCAACATAACTGTGCCAAACAATTTTAGTTTGTGAATTTGATTATGAAAATATCTCAAGCAGTAGTTCACAATCTGGAGGTCAGAACCCTCAATGATCCAGACACAAGTGAGTGGTTCAACATGACTATAGAAAAAAAAAATTCTGACATTTCTCCTGGCTATTCTCCAATCTTTGCTTCTTTCTTGTGAAATACTTCATCATTTTACAACGCTGGGGTGTAAAAATCTAGGAATAAAAAAACAAAACTACTAATTGATTGAACTGCTCACAACTTGACACTAAATCCATAATCTTTGCCTCACTGAAGGGGTCTCAACAACCGAGTGCATTGTCATAGCTCTTGAGCTTGTTAACAAAATATAACTCATTTAAATGTAACATGTTAAACAAAAGACACTACTGAGCCTCCCTCCATAGTCATACAGTAGATAAAATACTAGAAACACTCCTCAGATATTAACTGAACGGTACAAAAACCATTTGAATGGCACGTTGTTAATTCTGGGGTCAAATGGTTGCGTTGAGCCTTCCTAAAATCACAAAAGGAGGATGAAAAGATAAACTGGTAACGTAGACACTAGCAGTTTACATTTCACATTTTTAGCTGTGAATGGGATGATGCAATGGAGACAAACGTAAAGCCCCTTGCTGTTTAATTTAAGAGCGAAAGGTAACATGAATAAAAACTCCCTTACATATGTGGAATAATAAGAGGAACTGTATCCGGTGAGAATTATCACATCTAATAACTTACTAATAAACGAGACTTGCATTTAAGGAGGAAAACCGTTGTTTAAAACCCGCTAGCTTCTTAGCTAATAACCCGGTTCACGACTCACATGCAGCACATGCAGTTAGCTAACGTTAGCAGCTCCGTCTATTCCCCATTGCTCATGAAACATATCCTTTATCATCAAACACATACCTGTGTCATATGGTTACAGAACGATACACAGGAATGTTATGTGCTGGTCCTGTTCACCTATTCGATTATATTTTCTTTTGGGAGTTGTCGACGAAGACTTCAGGCCCGCTAGCTCAAGGGTGTGCTAATTTTTCGACCCGGAAAAGATCGGAGCCTTTTGACATGCGCATGTGCAGAACGACTTCGGTTCGATCACATGACCAAGGGCCAGCTGATCACCACGGAGAGTCGGTCAAGAGCACGACAATCGGCTCCATTTATGCGGCTAATCCTGCACGAAAATAACCGATTTCTCTGTCATAGTAATAGGCTTACGCACTAGAATTAAAGCTAGCGTTTTAGTATCAATAATAGGAAACGGAAGTAAGCAAAAGATAGTAGTTATCGATCAAAACACAAGATGTCTGGAAAAGACAGGATCGACATATTCCCCTCCAGAATGTAAGCATCTGTTTTGCTAGCTACAGTGATTGCTATCGTACTTATAGCTTATTTGCCAATAAATATAATGCTATTTTATTGACTTATTGTTTTTAGTCTCTCAGATGTATGATTTCCTGCTCACATCTGCAGGTATCACCCATGAAAGGATATCAGTCACGTTATGCTGTGTGATCTAAACCTAATCTTAGTGTGTCTCAATGTCAGGTTGCTGTTTAAAAGAGGAAGAGTCCTCCTTTTGTCATGTGATGTTTCTAGCATCATCAAAGTGTCAGCTGTCAGTGTGAGGAGTTTGAAACGTACTGACCTCCAGACAGTTAAAGTCTTGACTTTTACATTGGGTAACCCGAGTATCTACTGATCAGAGGAGTTTCTTGTGTTTCCTGTGTCTGCAGGGTCAAGTCATTTTACCACTTTGACACAATCATGGGATCCTTTTTGAAACCTCTGCAAAGAAAGACATTTTAAGAAGGGTTAGGTATATAGTTGTACCTGTATGGGGCTAAGAGTTTTTGTCATGACTGATGAAGTTCTGCTCCCTCTTTGCAAATAGAATTGAGGTGGGCATATGAACATAGCTTAGTCATACTCATACGTATTGTATATTGCTGCCTGTTAGTGGGTTACAGTGGGAACAGTTAATAGGAGAGCTGGAAACAAAAGGTGAAAGAATGTGAATCTGGTATACTTGAAATATAAATTGGCAGATTCAGATACAGCATAATCAATAATTGTTTAACGTGATTTTGCAGGGCTCAGACCATCATGAAGGCTCGACTGAAAGGGGCACAGACCGGCCGCAGCCTGCTCAAGAAGAAATCCGATGCCCTTTCGATGCGATTCCGTCTAATCCTTCGCAAAATAATTGAAGTGAGTTGAAAATAACCGATGCCTTACATTTCACACTAATAAACTGACAGCTGAGTGTAAGTCAGAATTGTTTCCTATATGTGGACTTTGTTTTATCCCTGTCCTTTAGACCAAGACCAAGATGGGAGAGGTGATGAGAGAGGCAGCCTTCTCTTTGGCTGAAGCCAAATTTGCAGCTGGAGACTTCAGGTAAGAATCAGAGAAAGATGATGATATGTGGGATTATATGTAGTACAGCTCCATTTGTAACTATAAATTGTATTTCTATCTACAGCACAACCGTAATCCAGAATGTCAACAAAGCCCAAGTTAAGGTCCGGGCTAAGAAAGACAATGTGGCAGGTTAGCATCAAAGTTGTCATCATCTGATTCTCCTAATTATTGTCTAGTTTCAGGATATGTTCTCATGTGTATTTTGACTTTATTCCAGGTGTTACTCTACCAGTTTTTGAGCACTACCAAGAAGGCGGGGACAGTAAGTCCTTCCTCACTTGTTGATTTGCTATGACTTCACATCCCATTTGAACAAAACGTGTTTTTATGACTGCTGAGTGAGTGGGAGTTCTCACCCTTGCCGTGTCTCTCAGGTTACGAGCTGACTGGTCTGGCCAGAGGAGGAGAGCAGCTTTCCAGGTTAAAGAGGAACTACGCTCGAGCTGTGGAGCTGCTCGTGGAGTTAGCCTCCTTACAGGTAGAGGGTGCTGTTAGAAATAAGACAATTCAGCCTAGCTTTGTTACTTCTCTTTGGTGATAACATAAGTACAAATACTTAGCTAGAATTTCAAGATATTTATAATTGAGTATTTAAATTTAATGCTACTTTATGCTTTAATACTCAAATTAATTTCAGAGCAAAAAATTGTGCTTTCTACTACATATACTGTATATGCTAGTTATTTTGCAGCTTCAAATTTTAAATACAAAACCTATGATCATCTTAAGAAATACAATAAAAATTGAATATTAAAATGGTGCTCACATGGAAACGCATTAATAATAATGATATATAGTAACAATCATTTTGCATGATACCTTAGAAAAACATTTGAATACTGGACTTATTTTTGAATATTTGATGTATCACTGGAAGTTGAATGCATATTTAATAAAATGTTAATAGAAAATTCCAGAATTTCTCTGTATATTCAGTAAGGTTGAGGACTTCTGATACTTATTGTCCTCCTCCTTTCTGCAGACATCTTTTGTCACTCTAGATGAAGCCATAAAGATTACCAACCGCCGTGTGAATGCTATTGAGCATGGTAAATTCACACTTAATATACATTTGTAGTCTTTTCTCAAAACATTTTAGAGGAATTATTACTGTAGCTCAAATCATTTTTACCCCCCTTTGCAGTGATCATTCCCCGGATTGATCGCACCCTCACCTACATCATCACAGAACTGGACGAACGAGAACGAGAGGAATTCTACAGGTAAACACAGTCAGATAAACTTCAGTATTTTAGATTTGACTGAAAGTGTCATATTGATTTATACCATTTTAAAAGTAATCTGATAGGCCACATACTTATCACATGCCCACCTCTCTTAATATACATTATCCCAAAAAGCCACCTAAATGTTTTATTTGTAATACTTACACTTCCTACTGTTCCAGACTGAAGAAGATCCAAGAGAAGAAGAAGCAGCACAGGGAAAAGACAGAACTGGAGATTGCGGCCCGGCTCGCTAAGCTGGGTCCCATTGCAGAACCTGCTAACATGCTGGCAGAGGAGACGGATGAAGACCTGCTGTTTGAGTAACAGGCGTCTACAGGCCAAAAGTCACTGATTTCACCAGTCATTCTATTTATTCTGTGCCTCTCTGGCCATATCTGTGTCTTCTCATGCAAGTGATGTAAGTTGTTTTTTTGTGTACTTACCTTGATGAATAGTTCTGTTGTTTCAGTGCTGAAAGGTACTGTGTGTTTCCAGATTTGTCACTGTACAGATCCAAATTGGCTGTTAACCACAAGGGGGTCAGTTCACTCCTGTAGATCATTAAATTGATAACAATATAAATATGTTTACACACAGTTTGTGAGTGAAATTAAAGAAGCATTCTGTGTAGCTGATCAGCAAGCAAATACTTAGGTTTGCTCACAACATTTAGAACCATTGCATGCTGTAAAGGTGGTTGTAGATTTCACAGAGTGTGTGAGTTTATGTATGTGGAGGCCTCTCCCACTGCTGACCTCATATCACAGGGTCATTGTTACCTCACGTGAGGATGTTCCAAAAGAACCCCTAATGTGGCCCTACTGTAAAACTGATGTCCACAAAGCCCAGCACCTTGACCAAATAAAGATGTTCTGGATACTCAACCATTGCCTGGATTTACTGTTAAGATTAGGGATTTGCACTAAAGTAGAAGCTTTTCTATGTAAAGATTAAAGGACTGTGTGAAACTGCTCAACTTGAGATGAGACAGTTTGTCCCAGGTATTTACAGCTGGGTGAGGAATGGCCAATTTACACCAGAACAAAGCATCTAGCAGTTTTCTATGTGTGCAAAAGGCCAGGCTTATGACCAGAAGAATACCATCCCCATGGTCAAGCATGGAGATGGGGCTGTTTTTCTGCGGCAGGAACTGGCAAACTTGATTGTGTACCTGGCATCATGGATTCTTAGAATACTAGGCCATTTTAAAGAGGAACGTGATGCCGTCTGCTGACTAATTAAACTTTGGTGATCAATGGACTTTCCAGCAAGACAATGATCCTAAGCACACCTCCAAGTCAACCAAAGCTTGGTTAAGAAAAAGATCCTAGAACGTCCTGGAGTGGCCTTCTCAGCCACCAGATTTAAATCCAATTGAAAATCTTTGGTGGGATACGAAGAAGGCAGTTGCAGCACAGAAGCCATCAAACATCACTAAGCTAGAGGCTTTTGCACGTGAAGAATGGGCAAAGATTCTGATCGAGAGGTGTAAGAAGCTTATCAGCACTCACTGAAAACATTTGTGGAGCATCCTTTATCTTTTATAACTTCTAACAAAGTACTGAAGCTGGGGGTTGAATAATACCGCACATGCGTTAAACGTTACTTTTTCATTTAATCTTCAAAGTTGTCAACTTCTGTTGTTAAAGTAACTCAAATATGTGTCAAATATTTTTTGCTGTTTAATGAGGTTTTTTTGTCACTTGTCATTATCTTTCATCAACATCACTAATGTCGTTTGAGGTGAGGGGGTTGAATATTTCTGATTGCAACTGTACATCAACGTGAAATGCATTCTATTATTATTCTGCACAGTGACTACTTTTACTTTTGATAATTTAGGTATATTTCGCTGCTAATGCCTTTGCACTACTATTTAAGCTACATTTTGAAGGCAGCACTCTTACCTGTAACAGGGCATCTCAGTAAAAAAGATGTTGACCGGTTTGGACCTCACCGGGTCTTCATCAGGTTGGAAATATACAGGTGCAAACAATTTGTTAGGTTTCTGTGCTGGTAAAGACCCGGTGAGGTCCAAACCGGTCTGGCGTTTTTATTGAGCTGCACGATTAATATTGAACATAAACTTACATTAACGGGGCATATAAAATTAGAGGGGTTCTTTCATCTTCAAGACTACGCATCCAACTGGGAATAAGTTACAAGTCAACTCTAAGAGGTTTCTCCTAGTTTGAGCAGGATTCACAATTAGCCTGACAACTGACAGGCTCAAGCAAAGCAAAAGAGCACTGGACGGCTACCGCTAGATAAGTATCCCATCTGCATGCTGCCTACATACAAAACGCAACACATGAAATGTTTACTGTGATTTTCTACAATTCTCTAGTGCAACTCAGGTGTGATTCACAAACCTCAGTTTGGCGTATTCCGACCATTTATTTTTTAAATAAAATCTAAAACCACTAATATTTAGTATGAATAAAGAGGGGTTTCAAATAAATGCTGTACAAAAATAAATGGAAGAATTCAGTTGTCAGCTGCTTTGGCAAGTCGAGCAATGCAGGTTATCACACGTTGTCAAATGCAGTTTATATCTAAGAAAACGGAACCAAGCGATGTATCTGTACCATTATTCTTAGTCAACATAGGATAGTACTGAATGTTAGGAGCAGTTTACTTTTCCTGACAAACACACAAAAAATACAATTTGGGGCGGCCCCTCAACGCGCGAGAAGCGACGAAGAACAGGCCAAAACGCATAGAGAGAAGCAGCAAAGGCCAGGCCGCGCGATGACCTGGCCAAAGCGCTCAGAGGGGGCGGCCCGTCAACGCGCAGCAGCGAAGACCAGGCCGCGCGATGGCCTGGCCAAAACGCTCAGAGGGAGCAGCCCCTCAACGCGCAGCGGCGAAGACCAGGCCATTGCGCGCAGAGGGAGCAGCCTCTCAACGCGCAGCGGCGAAGGCCAAGCCGTGCGATGGCCTGGCCAAAACGCGCAGAGAGAAGCAGCGAAGGCCAGGCCGCTCGATCACCTGGCCAAAGCGCTCAGAGGGGGCAGCCCCTCAATGCGCGAGAAGCGATGAAGGCCAGGCCAAAGTACAAAAATAAATGGAAGAATTCAGTTGTCAGCTGCTTTGGCAAGTCGAGCAATGCAGGTTATCACACGTTGTCAAATGCAGTTTATATCTAAGAAAACGGAACCAAGCGATGTATCTGTACCATTATTCTTAGTCAACATAGGATAGTACTGAATGTTAGGAGCAGTTTACTTTTCCTGACAAACACACAAAAAATACAATTTGGGGCGGCCCCTCAACGCGCGAGAAGCGACGAAGAACAGGCCAAAACGCATAGAGAGAAGCAGCAAAGGCCAGGCCGCGCGATGACCTGGCCAAAGCGCTCAGAGGGGGCGGCCCGTCAACGCGCAGCAGCCA